GTACACTATGTGTGAGTAAATATGATCTTATAAAATGTAAAATGGACTGTGAGTATTGGATTTAGTCTGAGGAGTGCCATATTATCCGAAGAAAGGATCAATTTTAAACCTATCACTTACAACATTTAAATACACAAATAATGGTTAACAAAAAGTCTTCTCATTAGAAGACTAGAAATTTGGGTAAGTTTGCTTTACTTCATATTGGTAAATAAGTTGTGCCTAATTGTGGTTTAAATTTATTTAATTATTGATAATGTAGTCAGATACTTTTATAATTGATAACTTTATTTTATTCCTATTTTTCATCCAAGAAACTGAACAAAATCTTAGATGACATCTTCATTCGAACTCGATGACAAACTTGAATCTAAATATTACCAGAATGCATCACATTCGTAGCCAAACTTTAAAGAGAAGAAAACTAAGAACATGATATCCAGGATATTAGTTGACGCTTTTAAAGTATTTTGTACTGACTTCCGATTTACTTTATATTCATTACGTCAAAGTCTTAATCGGGAACCGTTTAACACATAAATTGAATATTGGAAGTCCTGTACACTATGTGTGAGTAAATATGATCTTATAAAATGTAAAATGGACTGTGAGTATTGGATTTAGTCTGAGGAGTGCCATATTATCCGAAGAAAGGATCAATTTTAAACCTATCACTTACAACATTTAAATACAGAAATAATGGTTAACAAAAAGTCTTCTCATTAGAAGACCAGAAATTTGGGTAAGTTTGGTTTACTTCATATTGGTAAATGAGTTGTGCCTAATTGTGGTTTAAATTTTTTTAGTTATTGATGATGTAGTCAGATACTTTTATAATTGATAACTTTATTTTATTCCTATTTTTCATCCAAGAAACTTAACAAAATATTAGATGACAACTTCATTCGAACTCGATGACAAACTTGAATCTAAACATTACCAGAATACATCACATTCGTAGCCAAACTTTAAAGAGAAGAAAACTAAGAACATGATATCCAGGATATTAGTTGACGCTTTTAAAGTATTTTGTACTGACTTCCGATTTACTTTATATTCATTACGTCAAAGTCTTAATCGGGAACCGTTTAACACATAAATTGAATATTGGAAGTCCTGTACACTATGTGTGAGTAAATATGATCTTATAAAATGTAAAATGGACTGTGAGTATTGGATTTAGTCTGGGAGTGCCATATTATCCGAAGAAAGGATCAATTTTAAACCTATCACTTACAACATTTAAATACAGAAATAATGGTTAACAAAAAGTCTTCTCATTAGAAGACCAGAAATTTGGGTAAGTTTGGTTTACTTCATATTGATAAATGAGTTGTGCCTAATTGTGGTTTAAATTTATTCAATTATTGATAATGTAGTCAGATACTTTTATAATTGATAACTTTATTTTATTCCTATTTTTCATCCAAGAAACTTAACAAAATCTTAGATGACATCTTCATTCGAACTCGATGACAAACTTGAATCTAAATATTACCAGAATGCATCACATTCGTAGCCAAACTTTAAAGAGAAGAAAACTTAGAACATGATATCCAGGATATTAGTTGACGCTTTTAAAGTATTTTGTACTGACTTCCGATTTACTTTATATTCATTACGTCATAGTCTTAATCGGGAACCGTTTAACACATAAATTGAATATTGGAAGTCCTGTACACTATGTGTGAGTAAATATGATCTTATAAAATGTAAAATGGACTGTGAGTATTGGATTTAGTCTGAGGAGTGCCATATTATCCGAAGAAAGGATCAATTTTAAACTTATCACTTACAACATTTAAATACAGAAATAATGGTTAACAAAAAGTCTTCTCATTAGAAGACTAGAAATTTGGGTAAGTTTGCTTTACTTCATATTGGTAAATAAGTTGTGCCTAATTGTGGTTTAAATTTATTTAATTATTGATAATGTAGTCAGATACTTTTATAATTGATAACTTTATTTTATTCCTATTTTTCATCCAAGAAACTGAACAAAATCTTAGATGACATCTTCATTCGAACTCGATGACAAACTTGAATCTAAATATTACCAGAATGCATCACATTCGTAGCCAAACTTTAAAGAGAAGAAAACTAAGAACATGATATCCAGGATATTAGTTGACGCTTTTAAAGTATTTTGTACTGACTTCCGATTTACTTTATATTCATTACGTCATAGTCTTAATCGGGAACCGTTTAACACATAAATTGAATATTGGAAGTCCTGTACACTATGTGTGAGTAGATATGATCTTATAAAATGTAAAATAGACTGTGAGTAGTGGATTTAGTCTGGGGAGTGCTTTATTGTCCGAAGAAAGGATCAATTTTAAACTTATCACTTACAACATTTAAATACAGAAATAATGGTTAACAAAAAGTCTTCTCATTAGAAGACCAGAAATTTGGGTAAGTTTGGTTTAATTCATATTGGTAAATGAGTTGTGCCTAATTGTAGTTTAAATTTTTTTAGTTATTGATGATGTAGTCAGATACTTTTATAATTGATAACTTTATTTTATTCCTATTTTTCATCCAAGAAACTTAACAAAATATTAGATGACATCTTCATTCGAACTCGATGACAAACTTGATTCTAAATATTACCAGAATGCATCACATTCGCAGCCAAACTTTAAAGAGAAGAAAACTAAGAACATGATATCCAGGATATTAGTTGACGCTTTTAAAGTATTTTGTACTGACTTCCGATTTACTTTATATTCATTACGTCAAAGTCTTAATCGGGAACCGTTTAACACATAAATTGAATATTGGAAGTCCTGTACACTATGTGTGAGTAGATATGATCTTATAAAATGTAAAATGGACTGTGAGTATTGGATTTAGTCTGAGGAGTGCCATATTATCCGAAGAAAGGATCAATTTTAAACCTATCACTTACAACATTTAAATACAGAAATAATGGTTAACAAAAAGTCTTCTCATTAGAAGACTAGAAATTTGGGTAAGTTTGCTTTACTTCATATTGGTAAATAAGTTGTGCCTAATTGTGGTTTAAATTTATTTAATTATTGATAATGTAGTCAGATACTTTTATAATTGATAACTTTATTTTATTCCTATTTTTCATCCAAGAAACTGAACAAAATCTTAGATGACATCTTCATTCGAACTCGATGACAAACTTGAATCTAAATATTACCAGAATGCATCACATTCGTAGCCAAACTTTAAAGAGAAGAAAACTAAGAACATGATATCCAGGATATTAGTTGACGCTTTTAAAGTATTTTGTACTGACTTCCGATTTACTTTATATTCATTACGTCAAAGCCTTAACCGGAAACCGTTTAACACATAAATTGAATATTGAAAGTCCTGTACATTATGTGTGAGTAAATATGATCTTATAAAATGTAAAATGGACTGTGAGTATTGGATTTAGTCTGAGGAGTACCATATTATCCGAAGAAAGGATCAATTTTAAACTTATCACTTACAACATTTAAATACAGAAATAATGGTTAACAAAAAGTCTTCTCATTAGAAGACCAGAAATTTGGGTAAGTTTGGTTTAATTCATATTGGTAAATGAGTTGTGCCTAATTGTAGTTTAAATTTTTTTAGTTATTGATGATATAGTCAGATACTTTTATAATTGATAATTTTATTTTATTCCTATTTTTCATCCAAGAAACTTAACAAAATATTAGATGACATCTTCATTCGAACTCGATGACAAACTTGAATCTAAATATTACCAGAATGCATCACATTCGTAGCCAAACTTTAAAGAGAAGAAAACTAAGAACATGATATCCAGGATATTAGTTGACGCTTTTAAAGTATTTTGTACTGACTTCCGATTTACTTTATATTCATTACGTCAAAGTCTTAACCGGAAACCGTTTAACACATAAATTGAATATTGAAAGTCCTGTACACTATGTGTGAGTAAATATGATCTTATAAAATGTAAAATGGACTGTGAGTATTGGATTTAGTCTGAGGAGTACCATATTATCCGAAGAAAGGATCAATTTTAAACTTATCACTTACAACATTTAAATACAGAAATAATGGTTAACAAAAAGTCTTCTCATTAGAAGACCAGAAATTTGGGTAAGTTTGGTTTAATTCATATTGGTAAATGAGTTGTGCCTAATTGTAGTTTAAATTTTTTTAGTTATTGATGATATAGTCAGATACTTTTATAATTGATAATTTTATTTTATTCCTATTTTTCATCCAAGAAACTTAACAAAATATTAGATGACATCTTCATTCGAACTCGATGACAAACTTGAATCTAAATATTACCAGAATGCATCACATTCGTAGCCAAACTTTAAAGAGAAGAAAACTAAGAACATGATATCCAGGATATTAGTTGACGCTTTTAAAGTATTTTGTACTGACTTCCGATTTACTTTATATTCATTACGTCATAGTCTTAATCGGGAACCGTTTAACACATAAATTGAATATTGGAAGTCCTGTACACTATGTGTGAGTAAATATGATCTTATAAAATGTAAAATGGACTGTGAGTATTGGATTTAGTCTGAGGAGTGCCATATTATCCGAAGAAAGGATCAATTTTAAACTTATCACTTACAACATTTAAATACAGAAATAATGGTTAACAAAAAGTCTTCTCATTAGAAGACTAGAAATTTGGGTAAGTTTGCTTTACTTCATATTGGTAAATAAGTTGTGCCTAATTGTGGTTTAAATTTATTTAATTATTGATAATGTAGTCAGATACTTTTATAATTGATAACTTTATTTTATTCCTATTTTTCATCCAAGAAACTGAACAAAATCTTAGATGACATCTTCATTCGAACTCGATGACAAACTTGAATCTAAATATTACCAGAATGCATCACATTCGTAGCCAAACTTTAAAGAGAAGAAAACTAAGAACATGATATCCAGGATATTAGTTGACGCTTTTAAAGTATTTTGTACTGACTTCCGATTTACTTTATATTCATTACGTCAAAGCCTTAACCGGAAACCGTTTAACACATAAATTGAATATTGAAAGTCCTGTACATTATGTGTGAGTAAATATGATCTTATAAAATGTAAAATGGACTGTGAGTATTGGATTTAGTCTGAGGAGTGCCATATTATCCGAAGAAAGGATCAATTTTAAACCTATCACTTACAACATTTAAATACAGAAATAATGGTTATCAAAAAGTCTTCTCATTAGAAGACCAGAAATTTGGGTAAGTTTGGTTTAATTCATATTGGTAAATGAGTTGTGCCTAATTGTAGTTTAAATTTTTTTAGTTATTGATGATGTAGTCAGATACTTTTATAATTGATAACTTTATTTTATTCCTATTTTTCATCCAAGAAACTGAACAAAATCTTAGATGACATCTTCATTCGAACTCGATGACAAACTTGAATCTAAATATTACCAGAATGCATCACATTCGTAGCCAAACTTTAAAGAGAAGAAAACTAAGAACATGATATCCAGGATATTAGTTGACGCTTTTAAAGTATTTTGTACTGACTTCCGATTTACTTTATATTCATTACGTCATAGTCTTAATCGGGAACCGTTTAACACATAAATTGAATATTGGAAGTCCTGTACACTATGTGTGAGTAAATATGATCTTATAAAATGTAAAATGGACTGTGAGTATTGGATTTAGTCTGAGGAGTGCCATATTATCCGAAGAAAGGATCAATTTTAAACTTATCACTTACAACATTTAAATACAGAAATAATGGTTAACAAAAAGTCTTCTCATTAGAAGACTAGAAATTTGGGTAAGTTTGCTTTACTTCATATTGGTAAATGAGTTGTGCCTAATTGTGGTTTAAATTTATTTAATTATTGATAATGTAGTCAGATACTTTTATAATTGATAACTTTATTTTATTCCTATTTTTCATCCAAGAAACTTAACAAAATATTAGATGACAACTTCATTCGAACTCGATGACAAACTTGAATCTAAACATTACCAGGATACATCACATTCGTAGCCAAACTTTAAAGAGAAGAAAATTTAGAACATAATATCCAGGATATAGTTGACGCTTTTAAAGTATTTTGTACTGACTTCCGATTTACTTTATATTCATTACGTCAAAGTCTTAACCGGAAACCGTTTAACAATTAAATTGAATATTGAAAGTCCTGTACACTATGTGTGAGTAAATATGATCTTATAAAATGTAAAATGGACTGTGAGTATTGGATTTAGTCTGAGGAGTGCTCTTTGATTAGTTACATGAAATCGCAATAATTAGTTTATAAAATTATAATTGATATAAAAATTTTTCCATTTTATTTAAATATTATTATTAAGAAAACAGATCTGAACTAAATATTGAAATAAAAATAAATATGATACAATAGATTGTTTATTTTAATGGAATGAAATCAACCGTTGCACAGCCGTGGAGTTATGTAAATCACGTGACTTTTTGGACTGTACATTTATTATATTTTAAAGTTCACGATTTCCAATAGTTCAAGTAGTTCCATTAGATTTTCAATAGGCAGACGATGACAGAGTCAAAATTTTTACATTTGTTGGTTTTATCGATTGAATTTGCAAATGAAGTTTTTAAAATAAAATTTATTACTATATATATTATATAGTAATATATATATATATATAAATAAATATGTATATTATAAATGATATATAAATGTAGTAAATATATTCAATTACTTTAAAGTCGAAAGTTTTGATTCAACACCTATTCATTTCAGAACTTTTTCATGATTTTCATGATGATGATTTAAAAAAGTATATAAATTTATGTTTATATGATTAATTTTAGTTTTTATATATAAAAAATAATTAATTACATAAATAATTTTATTTTTCAATCCCTATTTATATTCAAATCAGGAATTATACTATTTATATTATATTATTTTTATATTTAAAAAAATTAATTTAAATATTAAAAAAACTTAATAATTTGTCTATATATATATATTTCAATATACATAAATCAGGATTGTAAATTACTTCTCAAACTAATTGATATTGAACTGAAACCTACGACTTTTTAGTGCTTTAACTGAACGATGGTTGAATATTAGAACGGAAATAACATCGAGGGCGGTTAATATATGTATATATTGTAGAAAATTAGTTGAAAATTTTATATTGGCATGAAATCCAAACTAAAAGTTAGGCTATGCTCGTACCACTGAACCGAATCAATTCAAAAGTTTATAAAACTCACTTGAACATAAATAAAAAAATTTAACAACATCATTGAACAAAGTTGAAAGATTAAAAAATGATTATAATTAATATAATCGCTAAATAATATGTGTATTAATAATGAGACTTTTTAAGCAGTATATTGTTTTTTTTATAACATATAAGTAAATTATAAATATACAATTAAAATTAAATTAATTTGAATGTTCGGCAGTGAAATAAATTAAAAACTACATACTCACTGGTATATATTGTTCAATGCGGCCACCGGGAAATATTCCCAATAATTTTGGGCCAAAATTGCGTTCACTTAGCAATGCAAACACAACAGATTCCGATATCATGGACTCCAATGCATGTTCACCATGTGTTTGACCATATACGCGTATTAGTACCTAATAAAATATTATAAAAATGCGATATATATAATAATTTTATTTTATTATAATTTTAGTAATATTTGGCAAACCTCTTTTGGTTCAGCTTTTGTGGTGAAAGAGTCGCCACTGTCAGTACGTTTCCGTTTGATATTGGTGCTCTCACCCAGACCCAAATCTATGTAATCATGCTCATTTCTATTTTTATCGTCGTTGGAGAGACCATCCGTGTCGTATGCAGTATCGTGCACACTATCGTCAACATTAGCCGCTTCATCTTGTGGCAGCCTTATGTAATAAAGAAAATTGGACAAACCACCACTGCAACAAACAAAATAGAATTATATTATAACCAGTATTGTTGCGTATTCCTGCACAATATTTGCACAATATCTTACCTAATGCGTTTGACAATCAAATCGTCTTCGCTAACCACCTTCCATCTGCCCGTTAAGTAATCTCGACACAGACGTGAAGCTATCTTACGTATTTCCTCCAATGAAGCCTGTAAAAAAACCCAAAAATTAATGTTATTTAATTTTTTTTTTTTGTTATTTATATATATTAATGGGATAATAAAAAATCAATGGGAATTTATACGTCTGGATGCAGCTGTGCCCAGTATGGTAATTGATTTAAATACTTCTGGCCAATTTTACGCGTTACGCTATGCTTCATAATTTGAGGGCGTTGTACGTCTGCTGCAGTGCTCACTGCAAGGCACTTGGCTAATTGTTAACCAACCGAACAGCAACTACCACAATATGTCAAGTATTTACTTAGCGACTGAATTGCACTAAATCCATACACAAATTTTCTGAGCAAAACTGGCACGCGACCTTAACAACAGTACACATGCATAAATTTAAATATATTAAAGAATATAGAGGTGCACGTATTTACGTCATATGTTCGTGTGTATATGTAATTACGTACATGAAGAACTACACTGCCAGTTGATTGTGAGAATATGCCCGTTCTGCATTTTCTTTAAATAACAAATTTTCTACTTTGTTAAATCGATGGTGTACGGTAATTAAATTAATTTCCTTCATATTTACCGATACTCATCAAACCAAAGTAAAGTAAAGCAAAGCAAAGTAAAGCACCAACAACAACAACAACGAAGGACAATTGCACAATGTTAACATCTGCATTTGACAGTTGTATTTTCTTGTTCTTGTATTTCGGCGTTTTTCTTTATCTTTCTTTTCTTTTGTTTTTAGTTTTGGCGCATGTGCGAAAATTTCTATTTGACGTTTGTTGCACAGAGCTTCCCGTACAGCTCCCGTGACGTCATTTTTTACTTATGAGTAAAAAAAGCGCATTTTTCATTTTATTCAAAATTAAGTTCACAAATGTAGTATTAAGGCCGGCTACGAGTTCGAGTAAATTGAGGTAAAGTAAATTAAAATTTCCTAGGGATTTTTTGCACTACACTTATGTAAATATTTATTTATTGCACTTATTTATTATTTTTGGTTAAAAGTTTTCAAATTTATTTATTCATTTATAAAAGTGTTTTTTTCAGGCTAATTGGTCAAAACTTTTTTATAAATTAATAAATTTATAATAAGTTATAAATTAAAAATAAAAATTAAGAAAAAGAAATCACAATTTAATTTTGCAACAATTTTTATTATTCGATATTTTGACTTTAGTCTAAAGTTTGTTTTTTGATGATGACTTTAGACCTCGGTTATACACCTCGTCCTCGGTTACGCACCTTTGTGCATCACTATAAAGTGCTATTATAAATTAATATATAAATTGTCGTTTCTCTACGTCTAAGCCCACATTATCAAGCTAATGTTGTATTGTTTGTCTTATTATTTTAGTGGTTAAGTCATCATTAGTAATTCTCACAGCCTTCTAACAGTTTCCTGTCTTTCAGTGCTACATGCCAATTGTCTACATTGTCTATATCCATTCAGCTAGATCACATTCCTTCAATCTCAAACATTCCACGTTTATTATATTAACTGTGCTGTTCTTACCGGTTCTGAGTACCTATATATTCTGCCCATAATAATCAAAATGCATTCATATTTCAGTTCTTAGTGGTTCTATAAGGATTACGTATAGCATAAATTTTTGATTTTCTAGATAACAACTCCTAAACTGCTTAAGTCGTAAAACCTTCTTTAAGTAGAAAAAATGATCTTGTTGTTTTTGTAACCCGCAAAGATATATTAAGCAAATAATATTGAGGAAATTACAATAACATGCGTCAGGATGTAGATCGTGTTATTGTAAGAAGGGAGTGGATTGTTTAGGAGTACAATAATAATAATAAATATTATGTTGAAGCTAGTTGAGCCAGTGCACTTAAGCACTAATAAATAAAATAAATAATACAAATATAATAAATAATAATATAATAGTGTAGTATATAATAATAATAGAATAAACTAAGGAACGACGGGGTTTAAATTGAAGTCAATCAGAAGCAACGTGGAGAAACCTACTAATAGAGTAGGTCCAAAGATCAATTGGACTCAAGCTTGTGTGCCTGTAGGATCAAGAAAACAGATGAGCTACATTATAGAAAGTAAAGCTGCAGTTAAGGCACAAGCATTTATTGACAGTTATTGATATATCCTAATCTCAATTGAACTCAGACAGTTGTTGGTGCACATGGAAGTCGTCGTTCTTCCCGGGAGATATTAGGCGTTATTACATGGTATATTTTATAACTGTGAATGCATTTACTTACTGGAATTGTCTAGTATAAAATTGACTTATAAAAAAAATGACTACACAATGTAGTGATAACACATCAAGTAATAAATGAATTGTAAAGAATTCTTTGGGAAGGTTTTTAAAGAATGAAGTATTTTATTATGTTTCGTTTTTTTAGATAATATGCCTAGGGACTATGTACTTGTATTGCTGTGTTTAATTACAGTATATATTTAGTAGCTGATATACTGATATATACTGGAGGTAAAATGGTTTTTGTAAATATGTCATAGTAAGCAGCTTGTAAAGAGGTTGTGGTCAACATACTGTGAAGAGTCTACGGGATAATACTTAATATTTCTATACTTGTAATATGGGTGTTGTTGAGTATGTTACAAGGTAGGATTGCTTCCTTTTGATATTTTATATTTGAGAACAACGGTGAAATATGTTAAGCGTTTTAAGACAAGAGAATTATACCTGTGGTTTTGTTAACTATTGCAAAAGCATAATTTAGAAAAACTTCTTGACATCATATTGACATTATTTACAAATATATGACATTATTATAGTATAATTTTGTATTCAAATATTGTTAAAAGAAAACATTTGGCAGTTACATTTGTTTTCAAACAATAATTGTATAGTTTGAATTCACTATTTTTTTAACTTTGTATTACAATTTTTTTTACCAGTACTTGACCTTATTTAATTTGTTTTTATAAACAAACTTTATGAAATATTGACTTCTCACTTTAATAACTAACAATTTATATTGACAAAGTAAATAGATCACACTAAATTATTTATCTAAAAATACAGTTACTACTGAATATTGTTGTTGTTTGTAATATAATATGAGACCAAAATAAATTTAAACTATCTCATATGCTGCTTCCTATTTCGTTCTCATAAATCTTAAACTGTACTCTCATATCCGGCATTCTTATCACATGTCCAACCTATCTTTATCGCTGCTTTTTCATAAATTTGTTGATTGTATCACCTTCAGCTAGCCGTTCTAGCTCGTGGTTGTATCTTATGCGAT